GGGAGGGCCCCGGCCTGGCCGCGGCCTCGGGCTTCCCCCCCGCGCGTCCCCCGTGTCCCCGCAGGGCTCCGGCGGCCCTCGGCCTGCCCCGCTCCCGCCAGTGTCCCCCGCGCCCGTTTTCGTTTGCTTTGGGTCCGGCCTCGCCGCCATGGCTTCTCTTCGCGCCCGCTGGGGACGAGCGACGCACCCGGGAGCCGAACAGAGCCAGCGGCCTGTCACGGGGCAGCCCAGAGCCTCGTTTCTTCGCAAAGAAAGTCGCGCTGAGACCGCTAGTCAGGGGCACCTCCGGGCGTGCAGCCGGTGCAGTACGGCCTCGTGCGTTTGGGCTTTCAAAGATCTCGGCGGTCCTTGGCACCGAGACGTGCTCGCAGGTCCCTGAACCTGCGTCTCCCACTGCGCCAGTGCACCAAGTTCAGCGGGGAGGTTTTCGCTTCGCGGGCTGGCGCGGTGCTGAGACGTGCAAACAGGCCGCGCGTTTCTGTGCCACAGGCCCGCGGCCAGGCTCCCTCTGCAGATACTCATAACCCACCCCCTAAAACAGTTGTACTTAAAACACCGGGGTCTGAATCGCACCGTAATGCGCCTTTTGCCCCTTGCATTTCATTTTAGCTTAGCGAAACACAGAGCAAATCAAACGCGACCCGAGCGGGTTGTCGTGTGCGGGTTGTTTTGAACTCTCCTCTAGCGAGGTGGGGAAGGTCGGGTGTTATGTGGACCCTGCACTTCCCTGTTACTGCCCGTGCAGGCTGCTAAATTAAATTAAGACTGGGATCTGCAGAATACGCCTCTGCTTGCTGCAAGGCTCCCTTGGGTCCTGCTCCTCCGCAGCCCTAATTTTCTTGTCTCTCTTACTAACAGCAATTCGTTAAGTAGAGAAAGTCGCTGTTTGGAGCCCCAGAGAGAAACAGCCTAGGGCTTTCGATCACTGATACCAGGCAGGCTGTGATGATCCTCCTCTAGCAAACACAAATGCTTTTTAGCGCGGGGCAAAAGCCCACCCCACCGGTATGGCTCTAGCTACTTGCTGCTAAACTCGGGATCCGCAGGAGTTCACCGGAGTTATCCTGCCGCAGCGAGCGCACCAACCCGCCGGGGCAGAGGTTCGTTGACTATTGCAGCCTTTCTTGCCGATTCAAAATCTCTTAGGGAAACTCTGCACGCGAGACAAACTGGGGAGAATTATTTAATGTGCTCATGAAGCGAGCATCAAGCAGAAAACATCTGCCCGGCACTGCAAAAGCCTGCAGGGATTCAAACTGAAAGTAAACCCGCAAGGTCTGCCCTCCCCTCGGGGATCGCTGAGCTGTCGGGAAGCCGCTGGGTCGGGATCTCAGCGGTTCAAGTGGAGCCTGGTTAAGGAAATACTGTCGCGCTATTTCTCCGCATAACCAGTCTGGTTCTGAATAAATCCGGACACGTTGCAATATAAGCACTGTGGATATCCGGGCTTTTATTGTCAGGACTGTACCTATCCCGCGATACATTTTGCTCTGAAGCGGACACTTTCAGCTGCGGCACACATTTCAAGCCTACGTACCCAGGGTTTTCTCCGGGCACAGTCCTAGGCACGCGCTCTCCCCACACGTGGGATTAGCGGGGAGGTGAGTGAGTGACTTACCTCCTGCAACGAGGTTCTCCCCAATACAGTGGGCAAGCACCGATCCTGCTATCGTTACAGTGTCATTAGATCCACACCGGCCCGGCGGAGCACTCCACCACCACAGATCAGCAATGCTGGATCCCAGGAGCTCTGAGCATGTTGCGGGGGAGGAGGCGCGGGACAAGCAGGGTTAGCAGCCGGTCAGGAGGGTCCTCCTCGTCCTTGGGACTCTCGGTGCGGGAGCATGGGAAGTCCTGGCTTGCTCGGGCGGCGGACAGACCTCGCTGCTAATCACGCTCCCGCGCAGCCTCTCCGAGCCTCTCGCCTTCGACTCCAGCGGAGTTTGATACAAGTCTGAGTCTCCCCTCCCCGGTCCATCACATTTCAGCAGCGACTGGCGTGGGTCGCTGTCCCCGCCCGCCGGCCCACCCAGCGCCGCGCGCATTCGAAGGTTCACTGCTTGAGAATTCTAACCCCGCCCCGCAGCTAAAGCTCCGGGGCTAGCAGAGTTCCGAGCCCGCCCCCCGCCCCGCCCCTCCGCAGCCGCTGCACTGTTTACTTGTGTTTGGATAGCAACTGGCCCTTAAAGAGACAGCGCTCTCTTTTTTACCCCCTCCCCGGCTTCTTCTCACGTTACCTAAGGTGACTTTTCCTTTCCCTGCTGCTAAAGCACGGGCTTCCCCTACCCTGGCGGCCCAGCCGCCCTGACTCCGACCTGCCCGGAGCCAGGCTGCAACCGGCCAGCGCTTAACTTCACCTCCTTTGTACCCTGAGCCCGGCCCTCGAAGCCGCACATTTCCCCGTTTACCTTCACGTTTGCACGGGGCTTTGCTCCTCCATTCGTTTTTGGAGCTTGTTTCCCCCCCCCCCCCCCCCCCCCCAACAACCCC